TATATTATCTTGGTCCTTTCTTATTTGGAACTGCTCTTAAAGAGTTTCGTACTGTATTGTATTGTTATTCAGAGTTAATGTTACCGAATTCATAATGAATAATTATTATAATAATAATAAAAACAAACCATCTTCCATATTATCAATACGTTCCTGAGAGTGACAACTACAAACTATACTGGGCCGCACTGTGCTAACAGACCAAACAGTGGCACATAATAGACCAGATCTCATATTAGTCAATAAACTAAAGAGGCAAACAACATTAATTGATGTGGCGATACCCAACAACAATAATCTTCGTGTTAAACAGAACGAAAAAATCGCCAAGTACAGGGATCTGGAAATCAAATACGAAGACAGTGGAGAATGGAAAGTACCCAGATAATACCTATTATTCTCTCTACTACTGGAGTCATTCCAAAGAACCTCATAAAAAAAAATAAAAATGTTAGGTCTGAATGAACATCTCTACAAGACCATGCAGAAAGCTGTACTACTTTCAACGTCCAGATGTGTACGATAATTTTTGGAAGATACTCCAGCATATCAAGTCACCTAGGGCTCGATGACACAGAAAGAGTCTCACCAGAGCTCAATCCTTTTGATACCGTAGGTATCTGAGATGAGTGAATTTTCCCCTTAGATGGAGTGTGAGCCAATAATAAACCGAACTAACTTCCGAATTGGTACGAAGAGTAAGACAACTAAAGTAATAACACTTCTCACGAAGTCGCAAAAATACTAATCACGCAGTTCATTAGTCTAGTATTGCCTAGTAAGTTTATTAACTAGTATGAGATGGTACTAGTATAAGAGACTAGTATAGTCTCTTATGTGTCACTAGGTGGACTGTGATCACATGTGCGGTCCCAGTATAGCTTTTAGTTGTCATTTTTAATCATTTTGTCAGGGACGTATTGATAATAAGGAAAATGGTCGATTTGTAGAAGTCCCAGTTCGTCAGCTAGTTCTTCTTAGGTGGATAATCTTTCTTATTGAGTTAAGGCGTTCTTTAAAATTAGTCCCGACAAACGCCTCGCAGCCTTCGGTAAGATGTTAGATGGCTTTTGGGCTTGGCAGCCATATTGGCATTTGTCATTTTGGACTTAAGGATCTAAAAATATATTACAGGTAATTTTAAGTTGAAATAACCTGATCCTGAATGGCAAGTAGAAAGCCCTCAGTCAAGGGAAACATCTTTCCTGGTGTACAACACTGTATTGTCGACATATTTTTAGCTGTTCTCATTGCGATATCACCCATGCTGAAGTCACTGTGCGCATTTTTTCTTGCTTAGTCAAGTGGTTTATGCATATTTCTTGCTCCCTCAGTTTAACCGGCATTGTATCATTTACTACGTTGCTAGATATAAGGTAATGTCTAAGCCTGCACTTAAAAGTAAGTTCTTAAATTAGCAACCTGTTTATGCAGTTGCTCACCTATTTCCATAAGTCTTCTTTCCCCTTGATATTGCGGTCACCAAGGACTCGATAACACGAAGAGTTCCACCAGAACTCAATTTTTTGCTACCGTAGCTATCTGGGATGAGTGAATTTTCCGCTTAGAGGGAGTGTGAGTCGTATGGCTGAATCTGGATAATAATAATGTTTATTGATTTCATTGTACAAGAAAGAATTATAATAATTAGTAGTTTTTTTACATACATGTTAACTTTACATTTGTCACTCAAAAACCTAAAAAACATTTACTCATTACACGGGATATAAATACAAATACAACTGTAAATACATAACACGGGATAAAAATCAGTATATTATAGAATACTTCTTTCATTGAACTGTTTCTGCATAACATACTTCTTTGGTTATAATATAATGCATTATCCAACATTTTAACCAAGTTTGGAGGTAGGTTTCATGAGAGTTATTCTTATACACATCATCTTTTAGGATCCAATTGCAAAAATGTTAATTTTTTCATTATTTGGTCATTTTGTGTCAATAATTATCAAACGTTATTCCTGTGACATGGGTTTTCCTAGTTCATATACGTGATATCAGTACAATTATTGTTTTTGAAATATGACTTGTTTCTGTGCTATACTATAAAATCACTTCTTGACCTTGGCGGCTTCAGCTAATTCTGTAATCGCATACTATTCAGTTTAATAAAAAAGTTTTTACTAGTTTATTTTTTTTGTCCCTCTATCTCGAGTTCTACTGTATGCGTCCCCATATAATTTTTTTTAGTAAATACCTAAAACTATTTTGCTCATTTTATAAAAATGATATTTAAACGGACATTCAAAATAAATTTTTCTCTTGTAATAATTGTTTTTCAAGCGTATGTATTTACTATTCCAATATTTGCTCTAATTTCACTGCCCGCTGTTTTCTTAAATTACTACTAGCCCCTCAGGACCAATAAACACTATTCTAGTAAATTCCATACCTAAGTTCTTATTAAAATTAACTGAAAAACTATTGGAATCTCAATATAATGGGAAAGTTTTTAAATTAAAGAATTCTCATCTTTCGAAGAAATGATTCCAATCAAAATAAACTTTGTTTTGTCCAGTGCTCGTGAATTTTTCGCAAAAGAAACACCGAAGCGTAGATGCAAGAGTCACGTTCTGCAAACATTTCTGTAAAGTTTTCAAACTAACTTTTAAAAGATTATTAGACTTTATATTAATCCTGTAAATCTTCTGTTTTTATTTCCTAAAGTTAAATTCTCTAAAGAGTATTTACTTTAATACGTTGGAATCTTTAGTTAATTTTCGTTGGAGTTTACATTAAACAATGGTAATCAGTAGGTTATTACAAATTCATTTTACAATAAATTAATTTTTGAAGGCAATGAAAACATATTATCGCTTTTTATTTTGGGAAAGCTACTTATTAAAAATATTATGTCTATGACAAAAAACGTACATTAACTTGCAATTAAATTTAAAACAGGCTTGAACCAAACATAATATATTCAGCTGGTTGGCTAGGTGTCATCGTTTACCTATAAACTAAGGAGTTGTTAACTAAAACGTAACAAAACTATAATTTTGCAGTCAACTAATTAATAAATTTCTAATATTTGTCAGTGTTGTATAGTTTGCTAGAAGAAGAGGTAAATGATGGACCAAGAATATTACAGCAGAAAGTTTATTCCGCAATAACACAGTTAAAGGATGACAAAGCGGCAGGTCCTGATAATAAACAAGCAGAACTACTCAAACTAAAGGACAATGAATCAATAGCAATAATCACAGAGATATTCAACAACATATACAACTTTGGAGAAAAAACAACAGAACGGCTGAAATCTGAGTTAATTGCACTTCCAAACAAACCAGAAGCCTAAAAATGCAAAAAATTCCCGTACTATAGGCCCCATGAGTCATCTCCTAAAATTGTTCCTAAAGATAATTCATAAGAGAATCTACAAGCTCTGTGAAAGTCAAATTTCGCCTAACCAGTTCGGGTTCACAAATGCTGTTAGTACTAGAGAGGCTTTGTTTTCAATACAAGTGTTATTTCAGAGATGCAGAGGCGTCAACTGCGACGTATACGCATGTCTAGTTGATTACGAGAAAGCGTTTGATCGAGTAAAGTACGCCAAAATGATGCAAATACTAAAAGAAGCAGGAATTAACAACCAAGATCTAAAAATAATTAGAAATTTTTACTGGAATCAGACAGCAAATCACAAAGTTGAAGGGAACACACTGACTATTTGAAAATCATGCGTGGAGTGAGGGAAGGCTGTAATTTGTCTCCTCAAATTTTCAATCTGTACTCTGAAAGAATATTTATCGAAGCTTTGCACGAAACTAAAAAAGGTATTCTACTTAATGGTTACCGGCTAAACAACATCAGATATGCAGATGACACCATAGTATTTGCGGACAACTTAGAAGACCTACAAGTTCTTATGAACAAAATCACGTATTACAGTCAACAATATGGACTCCATATAAGCGTTAAGAAGGCAAAGCTTATGAAAATTAGCAAAAAAAGGATAACAGAAGGTCAACTCTACGTCAACCTATCTCCTGTAGAAAGAGTGACGCACTACAACTACCACGGCACCATAATAAATGAAGAACGGACCAACAGCCAGGAGATTAAAGCACGCATCGGAAAAGATAGATCAACCTTCAATCGGATGGGGGCCTTCTTCAAGAGTTACAACCTGTCTCCTGATACAAAAGTAAGAATGTAACGATGCTACGTCTTCTCTCTGTCCTTTTTTATGGTGTTGAATCGTGGACCTTAAACGAAGATATGTGCAAAAACTGGAAGCATTTAAGATTTGGCTACATCGGAGAATATCTAAAATCCCGTGGACTGACCGAGTCACAAATTATAAATGAATAAGAACCGAGAGGTACTGACCACCATTAAATCTCGAAAGTTACAATTCTTCGGACATATTATGCGAAATTACTCCAGTTAAGCTTTCCTTCAAGCCATCCTGAAAAGGAAAAATATTTGGAAAGCGAGGTCTAGGAAGAAGAAGAACATCTTGGTTAAAGAACCTCAGAATCTGGTTTAATACAACATATGTGCAGCTTTTCAGCGCTGCTTCATATAAGATAAAGATTCCCATGATAATCGCCAACATTCGTAACGTATAGGTACATCAAGAAGAAGAAGTATATTTTGCAACCACCGAAGTCCTCCATTTAAAATTATGTAGGTACGAAATTGTAAATCTGATTTGATTCTGTCAACAGCATGGCTCATTCGATTTGATTAGGCCAATATCCAGAAAAAAGTAAAAGGTGAACTAGACAAACACTTATCAGCAAACTCTCCTTTACACCTACAAAACGTACAAAACAAATATCCAATTATCTAGTACAAGGTGTACTTTAACGCCATGAAGATTTTGACTATTTTGAGAATGATTTCCAAAACACATTTGAAAACTTCAATAAACTTATTTTAAACTTAAATTGTGGCTTATTCCCAATAAAAATAGTAATTATTTATGTTTCTTTTAAATTATAACTTAAATTTGACCTTAAACTTTTTTAGGGAGATTCAGGTGGACCTTTAGTAGTTTCTGGGATTCTGATTGGTATAACTTCTTGGGGATACGAGTGTGCTAAAGCCAAAAGCCCAGGAGTATATTCCAGTATTCCTGTATTAAGAGGATATATAAATTCAATAATAAACTAAAAATACAATAAAATATATTAATTACCGCACATTTTTTTTGTATTATTTTTTCCTTTTTTTTTAAGAAGTTACAAAAAGTGTTAAAATTATGAAAGCGTAAAATACCAGGAAAAATGGAGCATCAGAATAAAAAATTTATGCAGACTAAAAAACACCGGGTTATCAGAAACAGTCAATTGGACTATGTTATAGTCCGTACAGAACTTATACGAACTCTAAAGAACAAGGATAAGTTGTACTACAATAACCTATGACCATGAATAATTAAAAACACAACTATAGATTATCTCAAAATGACTAGTCTGTACAGGGTAAATGCACAACATATATGCCATACTTCTTTGCAAACTTGTATTAAAATAAACGTCACTACGTACCACTTAGCCTAATCCATCTTTTGTGTTTACTGTAGCTTAAAGGATTCTTCACACCGACGCGATACTTTTGAGACACTAATTTTCCGTTGCGGAACATTCGCAGGCGGAGCGGTAGCGGACAAGACTTCCCCCACATTGGCGCGGAACCCGACGCGACTGTTCGCCATACAAAAGTCAACAAATTGTATTTGTAGTCATTTATTCGGAGCTTACAAATACATAATGACTTCGTCTGATGAAGATAAAGCTCTTCTACTATTGGCACTTGCCGAAACTGAAAAAAAAACAGGTAGCTCCAGAAGCAATAACTTGGTACGGGGCACATTCAGTATTGTTAGTATCCATACATATAGGGGAAAGTATTGGTGTTAACTATGTATTGCTACGAGAAGAACATGTAGTATTTGAATTGGAAGTGTAAAAGCCAGCTGCTTCTTATTCTTGTTGAAACTCAAATTTTTTTGAAACTCCAATGAAACTTTTTTCTTATAGTTTTAAAATCTTCGTCCCTTAAATCATAAAGTATAGGATATTGTTTCACAATTTCAATTAGTTTTTCTGTAACAGCCATTTTAATTCACGCTAAACTATAACTGCAGCGGAAAAAACACGTCCATAAGTCGCCGTGCCTTACGATTCGCCGCGATTCCGCGTAGGTTGCGGCTGCGAAAGTTTCGAGTCGGTTTGGGGAATCCTTTAGTCGCCGTGCCTTACCATTCGCCGCGATTCCGCGTAGGTTGCGACTGCGAGAGTTTCGCGTCGGTTTGGGGAATCCTTTAGTACTAATGCCTGCCTGGCTTCCTTTTGTCAGTGGTTCTCAAACATAAATAATATTTGCTACAACATACTTGGGTTAAATTAAAATAAAATAGAAATTAAGAAATGTCTTTTATTTATGTCACACAAGCAGTTTGTTTTTAATTCTACAGTATGTGCTAGCGATACAAACCATTTGTTTATAGATTTAAATAAAATCGAATAAAATAAAACTACAATATAAAGAAACATTTCATTTACGTATTGTTCCGTTTAAAAGTTAAAAGGGGAAGGACTTTTAAAAACCGCATTGGATATGTTGGCAGTAACAAAACGTAGAAATATCCGAAAATAAAACTAATAAATAAGTTGAAAATAAAAGAAACCATTGTATTTAATTTCGTGTGTAAGTAATAGTAATTGTACACCAATATTTTTAGTTCCTTTTTCTGTCAATCGCTGTCACATTTAGTTTCTGCTTAACTATCATCATTATCATTATTATCGTCACTGTCATCACTATCTCCGTTATTTATATTTATAATAATTGGTTCGATATCATCCAACAAATTGTCCTTTTTCCACATTTTTTTTTTTGTTACTATTACGTGGTTTACGTGGTTTTTCTATTTCTCTGGCGTAATAACCTGGTACTCTGCTGTAATTAATTTCGCAGTTCAGCTTCTTTCAAATTCGCGTTGCGTTCAGCTATATACCCTTTCACGTCAGTCCAAACCATTTCGATGGGATTGAGTATCACAGCGATAGGGTGGGAGCCTCAGAATCTTCACATTGTGCTTTTTGGCAATATCTTCTATTATGTACCTGTCATATTTTGCTTTGAAGGTCTTGTAATTCATCAAGTAATTCGCATTTTAGGTAGTCTTCTTTAAAAAATAGGTCCTTTAACAGAAGCCTTTCTTGAATATCTTTTTTAGTGTTGAACTGTTGGGAATTTGTTCTGACTTTCTGCTGTGATAGGAGGCATTATCCATTACCACAACAGTTTTTTCTGGAAAATTCAGCATTAAGTTGTTTTTGAATCAATCTCCGAAGGTCGGTTTATCCATTTCGTCGTGGTAATCCTGAGTATTTTTTTCTTTGCCAAAAACGTGAGCTCTGCTCCATCAACAAATTCACTGATAGATTCTGCGTGCAATAAAACGAACCGTGCTCCACGAGCTGTGGGAGCTTTTATTCTAGTTGTCAGACCACGAACAAAAGCATCGCGATGAGATGTAATTGTTTTATCAACCCATTCTTTTTTCAAACTGTGTCAGATATTTAGCCATGATTCATCAAATACACTATGTTGTATCCTTCTGCACGGTATTTACGAATTGCGCGTAAATAACAATGACGCCACGAGATGATTTCTGGTTTTGCAATTAAAATTGAATTTCTGCCACGATTTATAAACACAAAATCCATATCACTCAGCAAGCGATGTAGCGTGGCCCATGAAAAGTTAGGCAAAGTTTCTTCGACATTTATAACAGCTAATATGGTGTTTATATTGTTGATGGTATGTTGTCACGAAAAAAATTATAAAATATTCTTTGAATTTGGCCCCTGACACCTTCATCGTACTTGTTGTTACGAGAATTACCAAGCTTTCGCTTCTTGGAACTGCTCTTTGGAGATTCAGCAGGTGATGAATATTCCTGTCGTATGCAAAACAGAGTCTTTTCGCAAACACCACTCATTTCTGACACTTTCCTAATTACACTTGATACAGAATCGTTGTTATCCTGATTAAGATGATAATCAATAATATTCCTTAGTATCTACTTCTTTGAAAGTTTCAGAGCTTTTCCACGTTTCCATTGAACAATGTTCTCCATTTTTCGGTAAAAGTTTGGCGTCAAATATAACAATAGCCAACAACAGAAAATAACAATAATTGCCAACAGCAAATCACAACAACAGCAAATCACAACACCAGCCACCATTATATAATAACAATAACAAAACAGTAACAGTACATCCAAGATAGTACAAATAATCGTAACTCGAATATGTTTATGCGCTCCGAAGAACAAATAAAAACTAATTAAGGTCATGGATGTATCAAACTTCTAAACATATTCTGTACAAGAATTACTCTAATTGGTTCTTAATTACAAAATAACTTAGAAGAAAGTATTTGAAAAACTTTGAAACAAATGTTTATTAAATGCACATTTTATTATAAGTACTACTGCTACTAATAAAGGATTAAAGTTGATAAGTTACTATTAGAAACAAATAATATATAGCAGGGGTGCTCAAACTTGAACTGCTGGCGATCTACCACAATATTTTTAGACTACTTACGATCGACTCTGAGAGACTGAAAGTGTGTGTGATGCAGGGTGGTCGTACATACACGATAGGTAGGTACCTAGGTAGGGCGTACCGTAGCATATATAGATATTAGCTTTCTGCACAATATAGGTGTATTATTTTAGTCAAGGTTTAGTTAGGTTCTTCTCTACAATATCAATGAAAAAACTCATAGTTATTCAAAATTGCGAGTTTATTTGTTGTTTCAAAACAAAAGAGTTACATATGGTGTTAAACTTAACTAAGGAGTGGCTTTGGATGTTGAAGCGTGGCACTGCATGTCCTCAGCATACTTTTTTGACTTAATTATCTTCATTTTACAAAATGCAGACTCGCACAAGTAAGTTGACTTAAAAAATGCCGTCGGTTGAAGGGCGATTTGCCTTACATTCAGATATTTATCTTTAGATATAAAACGCCAGAAATTTGTATCAGATACTGTAGCTTTATGATGTATATCTGATATAATCTGCACCAACTCATTTTCAACAGAATATGAGTTCATATTAAACTGACTTGCTATTTCAGTAGCTAATTCCTCAATGTTTTTACACGAAAAAGGATACCTCATAAATGATGCTATATTTTCCAATTTACTGCAATCATAAAAACGCATTTCGAATTGTCCCAAAATATTTGATAATTCAGCCTCATACGTATCATAATTCAACTAAGGAATCCTTGCTTTCAAAGACGGAAAATGTTTCAGATCCTTTCTTTTCAGTTGATCTATCATAAGTTGCAATTTACTTTTGAATGCGTTTACTGCGCTAATCATCTCAATAATAGTTTTTCCTTTACCTTGAAGCTCCAAGTTAACGGTGTTTAAGTGCATTGTGATGCCAGTCAAAAATACCAAATCATTTAGCCATTTTTCGTTTTTCAAAATCTGAGTGTCATCACCTCTGTCGTCTAGAAAAGCTGTTATTTCGGGCAATAATTCTTGAAACCTTTCTAGGAATTTTCCGCGACTCAACCACCTGAAGTCCGTGTGAATAACTAAATCAGTGTGTTCAGCTGACTCCCCTATCTTTCAACTGCAACTGAAAGAGCCGCCGTTGCAAGCTACGTGCACGGATGGAATTCACAATTTTTGTTGCAATGCCCATAATTTCCTCCGTGTTTAAAACTTTTGAACACAAAACTTGTTGATGTATAATGCAATGGAATGAAAAAAAATGAAGGGAATTCTTTATTAGCTCGACACTGCCACAAAACCGTTTTTGTTTCCAGTCATTGCTGGTGCTTCATCGGTTGTAATGCACATTAATTTATATATTGGCAGCTCATAGTTTTTTACAAAATTTAAGAAAACGTCATATATATCTTCGCCACGGGTCTTCCCCTTCAGAGGAATGATTATCAAAAATTCTTCCTTAGCCAACATGTCATTAAATACCATCCGCATAAAAATACACAGCTGGGTAGTGTCTGTCATATCGATGGATTCGTCGAACTGTAAAGAAAAGTATGTACATTCCATGATATCATGTTTTAGTTTATCTGCGATGTCTTGACTCATGACTTCAATACGCCTTGTGACAGTTGGACGAGATAACTGAAGTTCTCTAATAGCAGACATGATTTCTGTTTTATTTTTAAAATCTCCAAATAAAGTCTCACCCGCTTCAATAAATGCTTCCTTCACCACCGATCCATCTTCAAATGGTTTCTTGTGTTTCGCCAAAATATGAGATATTTTAAATGACGCGATCGTAGCAGCTTTTGATTGTTTGGCTGGTCTTGTGAACATGGATTGTTCTTTTTTCAAACAAGATATCAAATCACTTACTTTTCGTTTTTTTAATTCACTCTGTGGCGGAAAATCATTTTCATAGTTTTTATGAACCGTTTTATGATGCCTCTCTAAGTTACCACGCTTAGGTATTGCAACTGACGCACGACAAATAACACAAATGCATTCACCATAGAAAAAAAAATTCTTCTTCCCAATCCTTATTAAAATGATACGTTTTAGATTTCTTCACTGCACCAATTTTCCACTATTTAATAATAAACTTTGTATCGACGTAGGATCGCTATCAAGTTACAATTCAGAATAACTCCAATTCCTGCAGTAGCAACATTTATATCGGCGTGAACGAAAGTCTCGAATGTTCCCGTCAAACACGCCACTCGAAACTAGACTGTACTGTCTCTCATCTAGAAACAACACGGCTTTTCTTTGACAAGTGCCGCGTGTTCCTTTGATAAAGCCACCTTTTGCCTCAAGCAGTGTTATTTTATTACGTAATACATTTTTGTAGTTGATAGAATATCATCCCAAATTTGATTAATAATTATAATAAATATTGAATTAATAAAATAATTAGTAAATATATGTAAATATAAAATATGCTATGTGGACAGTATTTTGTTGTTCCCACTTCTTTGAATTGCAATGATGCTTAGTCAAGCATTCTATGTATTTGTATAGTTCAGTATTTATAAAAAACGTTTAACTCTGTTGACAGTAGTTTAGTTACCTACCTACTTATTAAAATTTTTTTTCTTCTCGAGATCTACCCAAAAAGCACTCGCGATCGACCAGTCGATCGCGATCGACCGTTTGAGCACCCCTAATATATAGTATTATGTAAAATTATTAGCAAACGATATTTGTAAATTACATACAATTATACGTTATTACTTGTTGAGAACTCCTGTTTTATTGTGTTTATTTTGAAAGATAGACAATAGACAACGCCATCGCTCACTGCATAAAACTGGCAACGTCTTGACGAAATTTCCATAAGATTAGCATTGCATATCTTAAGCCGGATTTATAAACGGATATAAACATAATTTTAGTCTTTAACCATAATCTTATTATATAAGCATAATGTTGAAAGTTAATAAATAAATGTACCCATTTAAAAGCATTCATAATACATAAAACATAAATTTAGTCCTTAAAACGTGACCTTCAAAGTTGGTAACTTTCAACATTTATGAATTAAGTATTAAACATTATGGAATTGTTGGAATATGCGCATGTGTAATCCAACGTAAAAAATGAAAGAACTGTTCCTCATCCCATTCATTATCACACTTTGTATTTATGGGTCTTACAATATACCTTCTTACTCTTCTTTGCTTGTTAAGAAGTCTGGCAGATATAGTCACTACAATGTTTAAATAGAGTGGGACTGCTGCCATAGCCAAAGCAACTTTTCTATTAATCTTCATATTTATTTAAAATTACTTCACTTTTCCATGAATCTAAATACCAGAAAAAATTCTTCAAGATCTATAAAAATTTGGTTAGGTTCTGAAGTAGTTTTCAAATATTATGGTTAGGTATTATGTCTAGTTATAAACCAATCTTAAATCTTGTGAATTATGATTGTGGTTAAAGTTATGTTTATGACTTATGATTATGTACTATGTCCGTTTATAAACCTGGCTTTACCCTTTATAGGCTAGTCACTTTGAGACAAAATATAGAAGGAGCAGCTAAGATGTACGCAAAGAAGTTTATACATCAAAAACAAAACTGGCGTAAATGAATAAGAACCGAGAGGTACTGACCACCATTAAATCTCGAAAGTTACAATTCTTTGGACATATTATCCGAAATGAATCCAAATACGCCCTCCTTCAAGCGATCCTGCAAGGAAAAATATTTGGAAAGTGAGGTCCAGGAAGAAGAAGAATATCTTAGTTAAGGAACATCATGAATCTGGTAAAATACAACATCTGTACAGCTTTTCCGCGCTGCTGCAGATAAGATAAAGATTGCAACATTCGTAACGGGTGGGCACATCAAAAAGAAGAAATATGACTTAATGCCTACTTTGCAAAAAATGCAAATTGTTATAAATTAAGATGTCACTATACAAAAAAGCTGTACAAACTTGAAGGTACTTTTCCGTTGGCCTTATTTTAATGAGGTGGTGGCTTTCTACGTTGCGTTGCAGTTTCTAACTATGTCTTTACTGTGGTTTCTTGTGCTTCCATCTTTATATAATTCAAACTTTTACTAATAAAAGAAAAAACAACTGGGTTAAATGCTAGTAAAAATACTGAAACTGCAAAACTTTAATACGTTTATAAGATACTATTTATGTAATAAATACAATATATTAAATTTGAATAATCAAAGGGCAAAGTGGCCGCAGGAATATCCCTCCTATATTCTAAACTATTATGTAATATTTAAAAAATAGGATTGTTGCTATTATAAGCACTTGATTTGACAGGAAATGTTTTATATAAATTATTCCAGGTAGTAATAAAGATACAGATATCACTTTTAATTGATACGAAATAAAACGATAATCTGATTAGGATTAATTTATAATAAAGTTTGAAATAATAAACACCTTATTCTATTAATGATTCAGCTCTGTGATATAAAACATCTCATCTAATCATGAGAATCTTATCAACTTCATATTTTTTATTTGCACTGTTTATTGTTGAAGGTAAGTGGCCTATTATTATGAAATTTATTCCTAGAATTTATCTTAGTTATTATAAATTTTAAAATTATTATGAATGAAATTTTTAAATTTGGATATAAAAAATACATACAAATGCTAATGATCTTTATACAGAACATAATTTTCTGATATTGAGTCATTCTTCTTTTTTAAATGTTTCGTTGTCGTTCCATTGTTTTTGTGGTTCTCACACTAATCGTCTTCGTATTGAGGAACCGTATCTCGCCATCTATACTACTCTATTTGATGTCACTCGGCTTATATAATCGATCTATTCTACTCTATTCGATCTATTTCTTAACCACTTCTTGATGTTCTCCATCTTGCATCTCCATCATATGTGTACTTCTAGCTCTATCACAAAGTTTCTTACTAGCTTTTTTCAAACAGTTTTATTCTTTGCTTTTTCTAGCATTCTTTTTGTCGTCTATGTGTCAGGTTGTGTTTCTGTCTCGTATCTTATTAGGTTGTCTTAATAACACGACATGGCGCAATCCCCACATTAATACCGACGTGAAATCAAGAATCTACAAAGCAACAATAAGACCAATAATGACATACACTTCAGAGACTAGACCGGATACCTCCAAAACTCAGCAACTACTAGAAACAGCGGGGATGCGTTTACTAAGGAAACGCACCCAATTGAGGTATTCGTATGAGCAGAACGCAAGATAATGGTCCTTCAAGACAGATTTTTTTCTGCTTTTTCTGTTTTTTTTTGTGTGTTTAGAGTTCTCTGGTAGTAGATACCTATTTTTCATAATCTTTTTCATGTCTAGTTGCGGTTTCATTTTGGTAACAGCCTTGTTGGTTATGATAACCAATTAATATGTTGTTGCTTACGGTCTCATTATGGTAGGGACCTTAGCAATTATGATAACCATTTTATTTGTCTTGCTTACGGGTGCCTTATAGTAGGAGCCTAGTTGGTTGTGATAACTATTTGTTCAGGTACTTCTTTTATCTGAAAAGATACCCAGTCGTCTGCCGAAAGACGATACCTGGTCTGCTGAAAGACTATTTCTTTGTCGAATTTCTTTTATGTTAGAGACCTTATTGCGGTTATCACAACCATAGTATAGTCGGGTATTTCTTTTATCTGATAGGTTACCCAGTCTGCCGAACTACATTTGACTTTTTACTTTGTACTAGGTTTATTTACTGAATACCTTTTCGCGGTTATCATAACTATATAGTCGGGTATTTCTTTTATGTAAAAAGATACCTAGTCGTCTGCCGAAAGACGATGCAAAGTCTGCCGAAAGACTATTTCTGCTTTACATTCTTTGTTCAAGTTGCTCTTCTGACAGAGGCTTTTTTTGGAGTTGTTATACCCACGTTACATTGCAATATATCTTTTATACTAAAAATTATTTAGTTGCCGTTACCATAACTAGTCTGCCGAAATACTATTTCTTTTTTATATACATTATTCAAGGTCCTCTTATAAGAAAGACATTTTTCAGGTTTTTATACCCATTTCTTGCTGATTGTTTCATAGTGCTTGTAGTGGAGTATTTTTTTTGTCTAAGCATATACTCAGTGTGTCGAAATACAATATTACTTTTACTTCAGGATTCAGGGTTTTCTTGTGCTAAGAGACCTTTTTGTGGTTAGTGTAACTATTTAACCTTTTACATTGGGGTATTTATTTTGTGAAAAAAGATACCCAGTCTGTAGAGATATTTCTTCTTTGTGTTCGTTAGTGTTTGTGAGGGTGAAAAATATTTTCGGTGATTGCAACCATTTGTTTGTTTAACTTTTCTGATTGTAGTGACATTGGTAGCAGATTGTAATCGGTTTATGTTGGAGTATTTCTGTTGCTGTTGGAGTACCAGCGAGTTGTGGATTGAACAAAATATCTTATCTTTCCTTTCTCCAATTGTTAAATTGAGGTCATCGTATGTGCAGAACGCAATAGTCCCTTTCACAGGTCCTTGTACCTTGTTGTTATGGTCTACCTTACGCCAGTATGTTTCCTAATATTGTCACTATGTTTATTACTTCTAGTATTTCTGTAGTCGTTAGTTTATTATCTACTTACATTTATTTAATTTTTAAAACTGCCTGAGTAACAAAATGCGTAAAATAGTTTCGAAACCAATTATTTTTCTGAAACCAAGTTTTTTATTTTATCTCAGTAACATTTCAATATTTATAGGTAAGATATATATGCAGCAAAAGTAATTATAGTTGATTACAATGCACGCGTATGATGAAACAAAACAGTGTAGCAAAAGGGTGCAATACGATTGTGCTCCACTGCAGCTTTAGAATTACTGCTAACCAACCTACTATCTACACACGTGTAAAAAGTATTGTATAAAGTGCCTTTAAAACTCATTAACGTGAGAACGGAAGCTCTCTGGGCATCTAGATGTGCTGAAGTGTAATTTTTAGGTTCTTAGTTGGTAAATTAATTAACAAAATGCATCTCTTTCACGACATTACTATATTAACTTGTCTATATAATCGAATGGTAAACGAACCTAATTATAAACAATAACATGATAAACAATAACGCTGATTGATTCACTGATATATGAATGCACCTACGTGAATCGAACTTGATAATAATAATCCTCCTATTTTGGTACTCGGCATTTATATATATTCGAGTCAAAATAACCGTGACTTCCCGTAAATTTATAATATAAGATAGTAGAAGTAGAAGTAATTACTCTCAATACATAGAGATGTTAAGGATAGGTAAAAAATGACATTCAATCGTTTGCATATTTTCTTTATTACATATCATTCTCACCAAATTTATCAAAAGCAGTTGTTACATCAGAGCATTATAAGGAACCAAGTAGATTATGTGGCAATTAATAAAAGGTACAGGAATGCTATTACTAAGGTATCTGCATTACGTGGAGCAGACATAGGATCCGACCACAATCTCTTTATAGCAAATATCAAACTGAGGCTTGCTACAGCTAAAAGAAAACACCAGAAGGCTTCAGTAAACATTGGAAAACTCAAAAACAGTGAAACAAGTGAAGCGTACACAGAGGAAACAAACAATAGGTTCTCCAATATGGCAACTGAGGATGATGTTGAAAAGTCATGGACCACCATAAAAGAATCATTTGATGAGGGGAAGAACACTTGTCTACTCGAGAGTAAAACAACTACCAAGGATGAGTGGATGACAGAAGAAATATTAGACATGGTGGAACAACGCAGGCAGTGTAAGATTAGGCAGGACCAAGTAGGGTACCGAAATATACACAGTCAAATTCGTAAAGAAATTATAGCGGCGAAGGAGATCTGGATGAGTACATTTTGCACCGAGGCTGAAAACCTATATTATCTCGACGACAGCTACAATCTTCACAGGAAAATTAAGGAAATTGCTGGTGTCTTCAAGAAAAAACAAGCCACTGGTATACATAATGACCAAAATGAAATAATAACGGACCCTTGCGATATACTTAGTACTTGGAAAATGTACACAGCCAATTTCTTCAATGATGACAGAAGACAAAAACCACCACAACTGGGAGACTATTTGTATGACCCAAGTATTTTGAAAGCTGAAATTGTACACGCTATCAAACTATTAAAAAGTAACAAAATTCCAGGACCAGATGATATGTACGCCGAAACAATCAAGTTACTTAATGAAGAAAACCTACACATTATTGTCAAGCTCTTTAACGACATCTACGATACGGGCCAGATTCCAAAAGATTGGCTCCGATTGATCGGCTACATTTATCGCCCTACCAAAAACACCACGTGCGAACTTCTGCAATGACCACCGACTAATAAGCCAAATAAGTCACTTTTTAAAACTTTTCCTGAGAATACTTTACACTAGATTGTTTAAGAAATGTCAAGAGGTCAGTGGATGGAGTCAGTTTGGTTTCAAAAATGGACTTGGCACGAGAGAAGCAATCTTTAGTATGCAAACATTAATACAGAATTGTTTAGATTAAAGAAAGAATGTTTTTGTCTGTTTCATCGATTACGAGAAAGCATTCGATAATGTAAGACACGAATTGATGATAAAATACCTACAAGTGTTGTGATTGGATGCCAAGGATATAAGAATTATCGCCAATATGTATTGGAACCAGACAGCAACAGTACGTCTTCAAAATGTTAACGAAGCAGAAGATTTCTCCATTAAAAAGGGAGTAAGGCAAGGTTGTATACTGTCTCCAATGTTGTTCAATTTATACGTAGAAAAAGCATTCGCAGAAGCAGTGACAGACTCTAATAAGGGTATTAAAGTTAACAGCATATTTATTAATATCAGGTATGCCGATGATACAGCCATAGTGGTAGATAACATCGAAGATATTCAGTGCCTTTTAAATGCAAGTTGAATTGCAAGTGAAGCTCGTGGTTTGAAAATAAATATCAAGAAGACAAAAATAATGATTATAATTAGAAATTATTACCCCAACGTAGAGACACATATTTCTGGAGAAGGAATCGAACAGGTCAGGCAATTCAAATACTTGAGTTATTTGCTGAACGAGGGTTGAGAATCCGAGAATGAAATAAACAGCAGAGTAGAACAAGCCAGAAATACTTTTTTGAGGCTTCGTATGTTTCTGACTGATTGCAAATTGGACTTCAACCTCCGATACAAGATGCTTAAGTGTTACGTGTGGCCTGTTCTCCTAAACGAAATGGAAGCATGGGCTTTAAAGACCAGTTTTATTAACAAACTTGAAGTGTTTGAAATGTGGTACCTGCGTCGAATGCTTAGAATATCATGGACGGACATGGTCAGAAATGAAGAAGTACTCAGAAGACCGGGCTTAGAGGATAGGAAACTTTTTAGTTATGTAAAAAGTAAGAAGTCCGCATACTTCGCACACATATTACGAGGAGAAAGATAAACTTTTTAGCAACTGATACTCGAAGGGAAGATAGAGGGTAGGAGAGGTCTGGGACGTAAATAAAATGTCATGGCTGCGCAATATTCGACAATGGACAGGAATCCACAGCTATGAAATGCTTCGCAATGCTGCTAAAAACAGAATTATTTAATCCTGAATATTTAACATCTCACCTGACAAGACGATGTATGATGGACGCCTACGCAGAAATGCACGGCACCTTAAGAAGAAGAAGAAGTTGTTACATACCTGTATCAAGGTATGTCACCGTAAAATCCTTAGTTTTCTAAATATCTTATAGTTAACCGTTGTAGTTTAAACGCAGATAACAGTTTTCTAAAATGCGACTATCAGTCCTCGTCGAAATGATAAAATATAAGACATAACAAGTATGTAATTAACGTTAAAAAAACGTAGATATGAAAACAAACATCCGTTAACCATCGCTGAATTTTAATTTAAAAAAAATCAAATAAAGATGATAATGTAAATATAAACGGTATGTGGCTTTAAGTAGCCAGATGACATTGATACGAGGTAAAATAAATAAAAATATAAATTAGATTTTACTCAAAGTTAGAAAATTAAGCTACATATAAAAAACAATAAGATATTCACAATAGCCATAAAAGTCATAAAACTTAATCAATATATCGTCCTATTACTGCTAAAACTCACTAACTTTCATTTTGGTTGTTTGGAGAAAAACTTTCATTTTGGTTGTTTGGAGAATCAGTATTGGAATATAATTAGTTTATTGTTATACAGTTTATATTAATATAATAGATTTCACAATGCTCTACAACAACAAAAATGTAATAAAAGGTAGTTAGTGAATTTTAGCGATCAAAAAAATAAGCACATTTGCAGTTACACATAGTATATTAACAACTGTTTGCCTAAGTAATACAGCCTAAATGTAAAATAAACGATACCTACTAATTAACTATTGATAAAAAATCGAAACAAAAAACTAATACTTAGTTGTACTAATCTTCATCAGAATCTTCGCACTCTTCACCTACTGCTGGTTCAACAGTAGTGTCCTTTATTTTGCTATCTACAGGTAGAGATTCATACAATCAGTGTAATTCTTGCGTTATAATTCCTTTATGGCAGAGCTTCAGCAAATCATTTTTTTATTATAGTACTGATAGGAATAAGTTGATCGTAAGCTGGTACAATATTAATTTGGCTTATTTTTGGATTTCTACCACGGCCAAGTATATTCATTGTTTTATATGGACCAATGTGGCCATATCGAAACTTGATTGTGTCAGGATTTTGCTTTTCATAACGCAAACATTTAATCCGCAACCAGTTGACTTGATTGCCATCTTCGTCTTTGACGCGATTTTTAATTATTTTTTGATGTCTTTTAGATCCATAATATCGGAAAGTGTTAATTGATGCACTTTATAGTGACTTTCAGTCGAACGGTTTCTCGCTGATCTTGCTCTTCTCATAACGTTCATCAGATACTGAATAGACCGACACAAAACGCTGTTCTTTTGTCTATGGCACTGAGCATACTATCTACTTTCATGAACGAGTGACCTGACTCTAAAAAGTTTTGCTCTATAACATTTAAATGAGTGAGTCATTTGAGTGAGGTAAAGGAATAAAGCTGCAAGATGTTGGTTGCTGTTTCGTCCGCCACATGTATCCAAAAATATTGAAATCTTCTTGACTGTATCTGGAAGTTGATTAATCTAATGCACTATAGCTGTTCCAATTTCATTATGTTCAATTATGTTTTTGCTTCTGTTCTTGTTACCTCTGATTAAATAAATGCACGTGTTTATTTTCGGAATGTACAGTTCGTTCGCAATTTGGTATCTCTTTAGAATTCGGTACATCGTCAAGACGTCGTCAGAGTTTCGTACGTCCTCAGAGTTTCGTACGTCTTCAGAATTTGGTACTGGTGGATAAATACCTCTAACTTTGGTTTGGATCCACCGATTTTAACGAAATTAGTGTCATTAGAAAGAGCGTGGATAAATTAATTTACATCTACTAGAAAATAATTACATTTAGTTTTAATTGTCATAGGTAGAGGGTACTTTCGAATAGAAAAATTAAAAATTTGTTTTTTTTTTTCAAAATGATAAATGGAAACACCTATTTATTGTAAATTATAATGGAACTGAATTAAATTCGTAACAAAATGGCGCAAACCGCATGTTAAATGGCTTTTGTCGAACTTGAGATATGAATAAAAACCCATAAACATAAGTAAGTATAGTATTAACTCATCCTGTATTACAAATTAAATTAAAAATAAGTCAGTAGGTACTTTCAAAGGTCAAAATTTGCAAATAATTACGATGTAAAGATCTCGTATAAGATCTGTATGACTAAATTGACACCTGAGACATGTTATTAACATAGCAAAATTCAAATAAACACAATAAATTCATGCTATCGAAGAAGTCTCGGTTTATTGTTTGGTACATTGAAGGGAAGAAGATGCGGAGGAATATTTGAAGTAGAAAACAGTATTATTAGTCGATTTTTAATTGTAAATGTGTCCTTCCTTTTGTGCGCTTTACTTGTACTTGTACAATTATAATTTAGCTGTTTTTTTACTTTTACCTACAGGATATTCAGCAGCCTTAAACAAAACAAAAAGTGCGCTCAGAATAGTTGGAGGTCAAGATGCTCTAATTCAGGATTATCCGTATCAAGTTTCAATTCTCTTTTATGGAAAACATGGATGCGGTGGTTCGATAATCAATCCAAATTACATTTTGACAGCAGCACATTGTACTTATGAGTAAGAATTTTTATTTGTTTTTTTTTGCGTTGTTTTTTATATTTAATATATAAACTTATTGACTTTAACGATAGCTGCTAATAATATAATTAATGGTAGCTGATTTAAAATTGCTCTAAAAGCTTCTGATCAGAGAAAGTGGTAAGCATATAACGTATTCGGTCGTTTTATATGTGTACTTAAAAAGTTACAGCTAAACTATTAAGTATATAAAAAATTGTTAAAAAGAAAACCAATGCACAATAAAGCGCAACGATACTTTATACAATATTAATATAATATTTATACAATATTTATTAATTATATCTATATAAATATTTATAAAGGAAAACAAATTTTACCCGTTTTAAGATTCAGTTACATCAATTTATTGAAAATTATTTTCAAAGAAAAATTAATTTCTATATATCGGCGAAGGAAATGTTAAGTGAAAACTTAAATTGTTCGAAAAATATTTTATTTTCTGACGAATCCTAACTAACCCTTACTTAGACTCCCCTTAATGTTTTCCGTTAGTCTTGTAAATTTTAATTTTAATATGGGCTATCAATATAGGTTTCAAATTTCATCAAAATTGTAACAAAACAGAAAAAGTTTCCAAAATGATAAATATTTGTCTGTAAATGAATCTTCTTCAAGTTCCACTCCTATCGGAGATTGGAAATCATTCTGGCGATTATAATTTTGTTGGTTACGCGCCTGAATAGTCCAATTGAACTGCATCCAAACCATTCACGGAGATTGCGTAGGCACGAGATTTTACGTCTTCCTACGCTTGTTCTGCCTTTGATTTTACCCTGCATTATATTACTTAGTAGTTCGTATTTTTTACCTCTCGTGTTATGTCCCAAGTATTCCAGTCTCCTGATTTTTATGGAATTTAAAACTTCGCATTCTTTTCCTAGTTGTTCGAGAACTTATTCGTTTGTTTTGCGATACATCCACGATATTTTCAAAATACGTCGGTAACTCCACATTTCGAATGTTTCTAGGTTTTTATGTTGGATTTTTTAAGTATCCGAGCTTCACTCCATACAAAAGGGTAAAGAAAATAGAACATCGTCGCATTCTTATCCGGAGCGATCGCGAATACAAAAAAGTTTTCTCATTCTATTAAAAGTTGACCGTGCAATTTCAATGCGGCATCTTATTTCTTTTGTCTGATCAGTATCTTCTGTGATCCATGCTCCAAGGTATTTGTACGAAGATATTTGTTCAATTTCTGTATTATCTAGTACTAGCTTAACTTTGATGTTTTGTGCTTTTGTAAATACCATGAAACTTGGTGTTCTTCAAATTTATTTTTAGTCACAGGTTACATATGATTCTAATGTCTCCACTGTTTATGATTGTATTTAATAAAATTTCTTTAAGCCGATTATGCTGCACTCTGTCAAATGCCTTCTCAAAATCAATGCAACAGGCATATACTTCCTGATTAATATCTAAGCATCTCTGCGAAAGAACACTTACTGCAAACAGTGCATCTCGTGTTCCCAGTCTTTTCTGAAATCCCATTTGTGTATTACTTATGCCTTCATCTAATTTCTTATGTATTCTATTGTGAATTATTTTTAAAAACAATTTCAAGACATGACTCATTAAGGCTATGGTGCGATGTTCCTTGAACTCCTTTGCATTGGATTTTTTGGGAAGCAGTATGAATGTTGGTTGAAGCCATTCTTTAGGTATTATACCTGTTCTATATATGGTATTGAATAGATACAAAAGAAGATCAACAGATTCAGTATTCACAATTTTGAGTAATTCAATAGGATCTTCATTAGGCCCTGAAGATTTACCAACTTTAGCTTGTTTCATTGCATATTTAATTTTTTCTCGTATAATGTCAGGCCCAGTATCATCCTTAAATTCTTTTGGTGCTTCTGGTTCTCTCTTTATCTTCAAAAAGGTGTGCTATATATTGTGTCCATCTCCGCATTTTTTTATTTATATCTCTTATAAGTGCACCACTTTCATCTCTTGGTTGCCTAGTTTGAAGTGTTTTTTTTTATCTTGTTAATTCTTTAATTCTTTTATGTATGTTAAAAAAGTTATATTTTTTTCTCAATTTCTTCTAGTTCTTGGCAGTGCACATTTAACATTCTCTCCTTAGCTTCTTTTATTCTCTTTTTAATTAATAGATCAGTTTCATTATATTTAATTGGATTTTTTGTTCTGAATGGTTTTCTTTTATTCACTAATAGTAGTATTTCTTCAGTCATCAGTCTTCATGTTTTCTATTCTTTGGTTTTAAGTTTTCATTTGCTGTTTTAATTATTGCTACTTTTATATTTTACCATTTTCTGATCAATGTTGTAGCTACTTTTATTCAGTTCTTGGGCATTACGTAGATTGTCAGTAAGAGTTTTTCTCAGTGTTTTCCTTTGTTTGTGGTTCCCTTAATCTCTTAATATCAAATCTACTTTGTGTGGGTTTTTTAAACAATTTCAATTTGGTTCGTAATGTGACTACTATGGTGTTATGGTCTGAACCGATGTCTGTTCCAGGGTAAGTTTTGGCAGACAGTATAGAATTACAAAATCTTTGTCTAATGAGGACAAAGTCAATGGAAATGAATAAAAGAAGATTTTTTATTTGGGGAAAAAAATTATTTTTCCGTTTTCCTGAACCACTTTTGGATGCTATTCCATAAGATTTTGGAGGGAATCTGTTTAACTCTCGTACAAAATAGGTTTCTGTGCTTACAATTTCTATAAAAACAGAAATAGGTATTCGCTGTGAGCCGATGAGTAGAGGGGATTTGACAGTTTTTACCAACGCTGTTAGTGGCAGTTTTGTGCATTTAACTTGTAAACATTCAAATAATGGCGAATATGGATTTTTCAAAAAGAAAAATATATGATACATGTAAAAATACTGGGTACAACAGTCATTGTAAATTTTATTCATTTCCTGTTGCCAAGCATAAAATAGTTCAAAGAGAAAAATGGATTATTGCTATCAACGAGAAAAATAAGTAAATAACCTATAATGCAAACATGATATTTGTATGGTGTAAAATTAAAAAGCTATTATATTCCGAAACATTGCGTACATGCCCTGCATCAACTAAACCTTTTCCCTTTTTTGGTGTAGCTGGTTGAAATGGGATATCATGTGATATAGACTTAAAACCAGTATAATGTTTAATATCCATTTTGATAAAATTAAAACAAATTTAAGAGGTGGAGGCCATAAAACGAAAGAAGAAGAAGAAGAATTAAAACAAATTGATATCTAAGCACTAAGGCCTACGCACATAAAAAATAACTGAGCAAAAACAGAATAAAAATGTAAAATAAAAACAAGAATTACAAAGTTACAGAGGTAAAGGTAACCAGAATATAGACGTTTTAAGTGTCTATAACCTTAAATATTTGCTTTAACCATTAAATATTTTCATATAAACTTCTTCTTTTTCTCAATGACCTCTTGCATAAGTAGTCATCCAGTCGCAAGAACTTATATCTTAAATATTATAATTATAATAAATAAAATAACAAGGCGTAATTACTTTTACTATTAATTCTGTGTATTAGTTTATTAATCAGTTTACCATAATATTTCAGTTCATTATTTTGTATTTTTAAATAAATATCTATTTTTCTCGTTTTGTCATATTTCATTTACACTGATTTTACAAGAAAAGTACAAGTTTCAAACCGCGAGAGAGCGCTACCGGCGAAACTCACAGCGAATACACCTTAGGCATACAATGCAATATTTTTTTTATTTTTCTGACAATATACTGTCTTTTTGTTTGACTTTTTTTTTAATTATGCAAGTCAATGGAACTAGCAACGTGAAATCGTACATCTGAAGCAATTACTTTTAATTGCTTTAGATGCTTATTTAATATCTTTCTCCAGACTAATTCAGTTTTAAGTATTACACAAAATAATTATCATAAAAACAATAAACGTCAATCTTATTTACATCAAGTTTTTAAATCATTTTAGTGTTACGGAATCGGTGCTGGCTGTACGAGTAAACTCTTCCTTTAGAGATGAGCAGGGTACATTATACGAGGTAGAAAAAATCTTCGTACATGATGGGTTTGACGATAGCACGTACGACAACGATATTAGCATTCTTCGTCTTGCAAGACCTTTATCCTTTGGAACGGGAGTCAGTCCAATCTCATTAGCAACAGCTGGAACGCAAATAACTGACGGTTTAGAAGCATATGCTACGGGATGGGGTCGTTTGGGAGAGCATCTGCCAGCTTCTCATCAGTTACAAGTCGTTATGTTACCTGTCATTTCTACCGAGACATGTGCTGAATATTATCCTAGTGGATGGGTTACGAGGAGGATGTTCTGTGCCGGTTATTACGAGCAAGGAGGAAAAGATACATGTGAGGTGAGTAATTATAAGTGAGTGAGTTAACCCAATTGAAATGTCCTATATATATATATATATATATATATATATATATATATATATCACAGAATCCAATTTGTAAATAGAATACATCGTGGAGACGGCTATCGCCGTATTCCCGTCCTCCTCCGCCAATCCTCTCGGTCCAAGCATGCTCCTCCTCCAAACCTCTCGATTCCATTCCTCTTCTAATACCTTCATTCCAAGAGCTTCGAGGTCTACTCTTTTTCTTCTACCAGGGGGCTTCCATCTGTGAAGTTTTTGGGGCCAACGTTCGTCAGGCATTCTTAACAGGTGTCCAAAACCATTTTAAACCTCTTCTTTCTATTCTGTCTATGACCGTACTCTGTAGCATTCATCTGATTTCTTATAGATTCGTTGGTTTTCCTTTCCAGCCTTGATGTTCTAGCACTTCTTCTCAAATAATCCATTTCAACTGCCAACAATCTTCTTTTCAGGTCTGCATTAGATTGTCCATACTTCAGAGCCATAACAAAGAACTGATTCAACCATCGTTTTGCCCTCATTTTTATTAAATGTCCTCATTTTATTATCATTTTATTAAATGTTTTGGTGGAGATAAACCAGAAAATATACTCTGTATTTAAAGATTTAACTATTTATTATATATAGCAGAGTTACAACTGATATATTGCAAAACCTTACTGCTAAAAAAATTTAGAATTAAATACTTTTATAAATAAGAATTATTATAATTTTCTGAGCAAAAGTCTCAATAGGTAATGCGTGTTCTTCACTAGCTTTGACCACTGCGTGGTATAGTTTATATTATAATTTAAAATAAAATTAAGACAGCTTATTGCTAACTCCCATTGCTAATGGCAAATGCTAATAATTAGCATTACTTATAGATAATCTAGTTGAACTATATAAAGAAAGTGGCCACGATACAATTATGGTACTACAGCAGCTCATAAAAGAAATATGGACACAGAAAACCCAACGATTGGAATATTAAAATACCTTAAACCATACACAAAACAGGAGATGTATTTGAATGCTCTAACCACAGAGAAATTACGCTTTCAAATGGACCGTATAACATACCCCGATTTTTAAAATATATTGTTCTGAAGCTATTCCCTTGGGACATCTTATATAATTTACTATTTTCTTTGGGAATAAGCGACCATGTTTGTTTTAAACTAATTTATTTGACGTTTTGACTTCCACTTCTGAAATCGTTATCAAAATACCGATTACAAAAAACGATTTTCAAAGTAGAAGTCGAAACGTCAAATAAATCAATTTCAAACTAAAATTTTGGCTGTATTCCCAAATAAAATAGTAAATTCCAAAATTTATATATAAACCAAGAATACAAAAAAGGGGGCTAACAACTTACCTCTATGAAATTTATTCGAAAACGATGGAAATAGCCAAAAATAATATACACCTACTAATAAAACTATCGTAGATACCAGAAATTTTAAATGGTACAGCTGCACACGACACTATGTTACCAATGAAAAAGGAAAAAATAATTTTTGCAAATGAGAAAGAGAAAAGCCAAGTGTTAATCTTTTAAATGGAAATTATATTTAATGAAGATAAGGTGTAGTGAATAAGAATACTTATGGTTAAATAAAATTGTTAAACAACAGGGAATGTAACCAATACAAAAGAAAATATAAATTTTACTTGAAGCACTACAATAGAATAGGCTTAGCTCAAGAGAATGAGAGTTCTGCTCAGAGAGGAGGTTGGCACGTTTGCTTGCCTGAAGTAACCAACGGTTAGATCAATCCTTTAAAGATGATCTTGAGATGGGCGCCAGGGTGAATTTTGAATATCACTCCAATTTGGTATATATGTAGTTATATACTAACTGAAAAATAAAAGATGATAGGAAACAAATAAAAATCTAAAATGCTTTATACACTATATTAGAATCCTTAGAGCCCACAAAACCATAATATGTATATATATATATATATATATATATATATATATATAATATATATATATATATATATATATATATAATAATATATATATATATATATATCGCACCCTCAGTGCAAGACTGCAGTAAGTCAGAATAAGTAAATTTCGAGATAAAGACGATTTTGTTTATTTTCGTGCTAATATCGGTAAAATAAGACACAAGTTTTAAGAAAAATTAACATTTAATTATGATTTTGTATGCTTTTCAGCCTATATTAACCAAAAATAGAAATTTAAATAAAATAATATTAATATTATTGCTATTATTGCTAAAAAAATTAGGAATTTTAAAGTTACAACACTTTTGCATGGAAAAAATTGTTAATCACTACACATTTAGTATTAGAATTTTAAAGTTACAACACTTTTGCACAGAGAAAATTGTAAAAAGTGCAGACACATTTTCTGTTAGTTGTTGTTCTCTTCTCGTATATCATCTTGGGCCAAAACATTTTTATAAAAACTATGGTGGGCTTCTGGTATCATACCCGAATGGCAAAAGTATACCAAATCTATCTTTTTGGCCATTTGAATTTTTGGCTGTTCTTTGTAGGCAGGTTTAAGTAGCACTTCTCGTATATTATGTGTAGTCCGTGATGATTTTTTTAGATTAAAAGAATTCCATAGTTCATCATCATAGTTGTACTTAAAGAAAATTGTGTGCGGACTATCTTTTCTACATTGCAGAATTTTTATATCTGTCCAGTTGTCCTACTTCACATTTTCTTTATTTTGATCAATTTTATAGTTTTTTCCAACGAAAAGGAAACAGTTAAATCACTGAAGTCCTTTGTTTCCATTTCCCGGACTATGTAGGATGAACCACTTTTTTGCTACATTTCACTGCAGTTGTCCATTCAGTAGGAACATAAATTGGACCGCTCTTCAGCAATCTTTTCTTTTGCCGCTCTATTAATGAGTGCATGTTGTCACCAGCGTTTTGTGTGTGGCCTGTTATTAAAAACTTGAAGCTTGGAGTTGAGTATGGTATTAAACTTTACATTTAATAGATTCCAAGAAATCAGATAGCTACCCAGAATAAATAGGTACCTAATAAAACGGCTTATCGCTAGCGACAATTTAATCTTTCCATCTTTGTACATGTTTCTGATAGCCATAATTTCTTCGCTTTGTAATGACAATGTCATAACAAGGTAGAAAAATTATTTGTAAAACTTTCAATATTTTGTTTAAATTCAAACAAAAGGACTATAATAAAAATATGTAAATCAGGCTACCTTGAGTACAGTAATTACCAAAAGGATTGGAAATCACTACCTCAGTAAAAGTTGGGAATTACGGGGAGACAATATGATAATACAATTTGGTATTTAGTTTTTATAGAACAAATTTTCTAAGAATAGATATTTTTAACCTGTCAGTATTGTTGATACACAACTTTTAAGATAACTGTTTTTCCTTGCATAAGAAAAAATACTTTTTGGCTGTAAACAATTAGTCATAGTTTATGTGTTTTAATCCAATCTAATAAATAAATGGTCAAACGACATCGCACACATTATGGAAAATATAATGTCACACAAAGGACATAAAACTTACATGAATAGATTGTTCTCGTAAATCTTTGTTTATTATCTCAGCCGTTAATAGATTACATAGACATGCTGTATATTAAAATTAAACACCACAGATATAGATACTAAAATAACAAATATCCTACTTTCTTCGTGCCTTTCATTGCTTGTTATCGAAACCATTGCAATTCGAAACCGTGTTGTGCAAAACTGTTGTAACTCTCTTAAATTAGAATTACAACAGTTTTGCACAGAACTTATGTACAAAAATTCAAAATAGTTAAACTGTTGTTGTAATATTTAGCCGGTTGAGCATTTGAAAGTTACTTAAGTTTTACAGGGGATAGATATGCATGTTTACAATCGAATACCATGATTACTTCATTTTCATAAAATTTCGAGTTACTGCAGTCTTGCACTGAGGGTGCGATATAATATAATAATAATATTTACAAAAGAACAGTGACCTAAAACTATGACCCAAACTATAATTATATACAAAAAATATTATAAAAATAATAATTATACCAGTTCATAAAAGGCAGTTTAAAAAATATGACAATAGTCAGTTAAGATATTAGAACAATACTACATTAATTTGATACGTGAAGGTACATACAAATGACCATAAAATTCGATAATATATCCTGACAACTTATTATAAGTATAATATAAAATATTAATAAATAAATAAAGTTTAAAGCAAATATGAAATAATAAAATTAAGACAATTTAAAGGATTCAGCAAAGTGAGGGTACTACCAGAGATTGTGCACAAACCTGTTTCATAACCCACTTGAGTTGAAGGCATAAGTATTCGAGGATATAGATATATGTTATATAAAAAACAGTTTTAAATTGTTTTAAATTTTATATTAATTGTACTTAATAACCCTATGGTATGGTTGCTGCGAAGGGGTATTCATTCATCAGCTGTCTGATGTCCACGTGGGCTCTGAGATGGCTCAGCCTACATTTAGTGGTAGCAGCCTGGTAGACCAACCAGAAAATAACAAATTAGATATCTTCTTTTCCCCAACTTAACGTCCAATTTTTCCCCAAATCCCAAGTACTTCCAAAAAAATTAAAAATTATTCTTTCCAAAATCCAAAAATAAAAAGTCCAAATACTTTAAGTTGGAGCAGGCAGGCTACAAGAGAACAAAAAAACCTTTTTATTCTGTGTTCTTGTACTTAATACAGTTTTTGTTCTAGTAACAAAAACTAGAATATAGTGGTCATTATATGACCTTGGCTCAAATATTTAATATTTCCATACTGGAATTTACTTATATATGTATATAAAAAATAAGAATGATTTTTGGAAATGGTGACTAAAGTAAGAAAGTTTAAATGATTGAGAACTGGTAAATTTAAATGGAAGATGTACGTGTATGGAAAGTAACTTACCAGAATCTTTCTAAGCGGCGGGAGAACTTTCGACACCAAATTGTCTTTGTACCTAGGGTAATCGAAG